CAGACGCCACTTTCCGGGCTCCCGACCTCGGCTCGGTGCAGAGGAAGAGGAAATGAGTGCGGCCGCCGCGCCGGCGCCCGAACGGGGTTGGAAGAGCGAGAAAGTGGACGAGGCGCAGGCCCTGGCGCGGAGCTGCGCCGCCCGCAGACCCGACTTCCAGCCGTGCGACGGGCTCTCGATCTGTGCCACTCACAGCCATGGCAAGTGCTTCAAGCTGCACTGGTGCTGTCACCTAGGATGGTGTCACTGTAAGTGGAGCCGCGTGTCCGCTACCATCGCGGTCCTGGGGGCACCCGCGGGGCCGTGCGGGTCGCGGCTGGCGCGGTGCAGCCGGGGGCTACGTGCTCTCCCGGGGCTGCCGCGCCGCAGGCTGGGGCCGCGCTGAGCTCCGGGTCGCTAGAACTGCCCTGAAGCGCAACGCCCGGGCTTGCGCTGCCTTGGCAACGAGAGGAATTCCCGGGGGGAGGTTAGCTCTGGTCACTGGCACGGAAAGGGGATGCCCTCGTCCGGGCAAGCTTTTTCTTTGGTACCAGAAATGTCCAGGCCGTGTATTGAGAAGTGGTAGAGCGTCAGCGGAGTTGATGGCCAGCGGAGGGGAAGCCTCCGTTGGGGGGTCGGTGGTGCAAGAAGCGCCTCACTTTCTTTCTCACTTGGCTTCCCGACTGCTGTTTAAAAAAGTCTTGGAAATTGAACTTGTCCCATTGATCATATTCCAACTGAGAAAGCGCTGAAATGTGAGGAATTGCTTCCAGGAAGTTTAAAGGAACCGTTTTGGAGGGCACACTCTTTAGATACCTAGTTGCAGCATTTAGATCCAAGTTATGAGTGTGTTTAAGAATTAGAAAATAAACTGACTTGTAGATACGCTTGAAGGATCTTAATTTAATGTATGAAAGCTAAAACTACATGGTCCGGGACCTTTCTCTGTCTTTATGCTGCCTTTGATTTTTTAAGTAGATTAAACTTAAATAGCCATTTAATCAGAATTCCACAATTTGATTAGTTCATAGTATTTGGCCTTCTCTATATGATGAATCATTTCTTTTTAGAAATACATTCTAAAGTTAGTTTCCACATAATATTAGAAGGTTTTCGTGTGCTTATTTAGGACACAATTTTTCAAGTGAACTTAATATTATTTTTTCCTTGTTGGTTAGAAGAAAGTGACTCACCAAAGATGCCGTATATAACAAATCCCTTTTTACCTTAACTGAACACGATTGGATATTTTTAGTCGAATTTGTGAATAAAGGGATAGAAAATCCTTGCATTTTCTTTACAAATTCAAAACACATGGAGCAGTACTGTTTTTGTCTTCCATCTGCTGATGGATCAGTTTCTTCTTATGTCACATTATTCTTATTGTGCTTAGAGAAAGCAATGGGGACAGGTTACATAGTTGGAAGTAGCAATCACGGGAAACCTGGGTGCTAAAGTACACAAGTAGGAGTCTGATGAGGCATTTTTCCTGCGGAGGCATAGTGTGGACTATGAGGAAGGTTTAAATTGGTCCAAGTCAGTGCCTGTTTACAGCATCCCTTCTAAGTGCACCATTACTGTTGGAAACCTTACACTCTAATCAGCTACCTTCTTCCTTCATGAGCCTTGACTCTTAAAATATTCTTCCTTATAAGGAGCTGAAATCTTTACTTTCTAACTTCTTTCCTTGGGTCCTATTTGTGCCTTATGAGATCATATAGAACAAATTCTTTTTCAGAAGAATTGGCTGTTTGAGCTGTTTACATATATGTATCTGAATATGCATGGGGATTTTTTTTTTTTTAGACAGTGATTCTTATCTTTTTATCCCTGGCCATTCTCGTAATGAAATAGATTTTCCTGGTGTTTTCTGTAATAGGTTTGAACTTCATGTTCATTGAGTGACTGAATGAAGATAGCCACCATTTTCCTCTGAAGCCATTGTTTTATAAATTTACACTGCCTTTTGCCCTTTTATGGAAGAGTATCCAGGCTCCTAAGCATCCTGGTTCTGTTCTGAACCTGTGCCAATGAACATGATCCTGTAAAGGTTGTGACCCCAGAAAGGCAGGTAGTATCCCAGTTGTGGTCTGATCAGACCAGAGTGGAGCAAGACTGCTACATTCCCATCTTTGAGATACTTCTGTTGCTGCAGCTATAGAATCACATTAGCTCTTCTGATATCCATATCTTGTCATACTGAGCTTGCTGCTGTCACATTGAACTAAGCTTGCTATCAACTAGAGCCATTGAATGGGCCCTTCAAAAAAAATATTATGGGGGCAATTAAGCCAGTTGTGGCAGTTTCCTTTTCAAAATTATAGGTATATTTTTAGACTCAAGTATAGATAACCTTAGATCTTTTTCCTTATTTTAAGAGGATTAGCCTATTTTTCTTACTATGTTTTTTTCGTTCCAGCTTTTTAATACTACATATTAGTTATTCCTCCTAGGTTCATGTTATGCCTATCTTAGATGCCAACAGTGTATATTAACTTTATATACCTTCATTCTAATTATTAATAAAATAGGAAAATTAGGAAAAATTTATAGAGTCCTGAAACTCAATAGCAATTCATTAATGACTACTTAAAGTTGTTCACACAATTACCTAGTCACCTAAGCATACTTTTATCCATCTTTTATTTCTCACATCCACGTGGCTGTAACAAGAGTTGGTCAGATGACCTTGTTGCAATCCTACCAACACAGGATTTTTACTGCTTCTTTCTGATCTATGATCTATCTTACGAACTGTCTCTCTCTAAAACACACACACATACACACACACACACACACACACACACACACACACACTAATATGGTATAACTCAGATTGGTTCCACAAATGTCACCACTTTCTTTTCTAAATAGTTAGTAGCTGATTTTGAATAAATGATCTGAATTTTGAAAAGGATTGATGTCAGGTATACTGCACTGTTGTGACAATTCTCTCTGATTTTAAATTTAGACCTACATTCGTTTGCTCTTTTCTAGTCTTCGGCCAGGCTCTGATTCTCATGCTTCCTGCCTGGGCAGCAGTTCAGTGATCCATTCACAAGGAGCTGTGGCATTAAAAGCAGCCAGGTGCTGTGTTATGGTCTCCTCACCTGATTGGGCATCAACTCTTTCTACCCCTTTTAGCCCAAATAGCATTTTTATCTCAGGAGAAATAAGTCAACATACTTAAGAAGTTCGTTCATATTCTCATTCTCTCTCTCTCTCTCTCTCTCTCTCTCTCTCTCTCTCCCTCCCTCCCTCTCTCTCTCTCATATCTCTTTCTTTCTCTTTCTCTCCCTCATTCATGAAACACTTTAGTTCTAAGCATGCATATGTCATGAGCATCTTCTCTTTATGAGACATTATTATGAAAATAATACAAATATGAATACATCTGGATTCTGCCCTTTAAGCAGAGTCTAGGAAAAGTTGCATGCTATATTTTCCTTGAAAATGGTGGATTCAGAGTAAATAAAGGAAGTTTAGCAATATATAACTGATGTTAAAATTGTAAAACTTATAACCTTATTTAATAGAAAAGGCTGAAAAAAATGAACATGTTTATAAAAGATGTGGAAAGCTTATATATATATTCATATTCATAGATGCAGTGCTTGGTGCACTATTACATAATTAGTATATTTGGGTGATGACTGACTTTTGATGTCTAGGAGCAAAACTGTAGCATCTCCTATTGGTGTTAAAGATAGATTATGGTGTTGAATAAACCGTGACTCTGAATCTGTTACTTAAACTTTCTTAGTAAGGAATGATATTAGACTGAATTAATAAGTGAAGGGTTTTTTTTTGTTGTTGTTGTTTTTGTTTTTGGTACTGGGGAATTGAACTCAGGGGCACTCAATCACTGAGTCACATCCCCAGCCCTTTTTGTATTTCATTTAGAGACAGGGTCTCACTGAGTTGCTTAGGACCTCATTAAGCTGCTGAGGCTGGCTTTGAACCTTCAATCCTCCTATCTCAGCCTCCTGAGCCACTGGGATTATAGGCATGTGCCACCATTCCTGGCCATAAGTGAAGGTTTCTAAGAGGAGTCTTGAGAAAGGAAAAGATATGACTTGGTTAGAGTGGAAAGATGGGGGAAAAACCATATGCAGGTATTATGAGGTAGATTTTTGTGGGGACAGATTATTTAAAAGGAAAAAGAAATAGATTGGTGGAGATAGAGATAAGTGGGTGGATTTGAGAGAAATCTGAGGTGAAATCTGTAGCTCAATAGATTTGAAGAATAAGAGGCAACTTATTAAAAATAACTTCTGGACTTTTGGAATTCTGCCTTTTGCAGCTTAAATGGATGGAGAAGCAGGATTGGGAGGAAGATCATGAATTTGTGTTTGGATTTATTGTGTTTAAGCTGCTTTTGTCATCTCATGGTGATGTCAGTAAGCCATTAGATAAAGAATCGGAAACTCAGGGGTGGGGCGGGGTCTGGGCTAGAGATACCATGGAGGTCATTTACTTATTATAGTTGGCAGTTATAGCCATGAAGTGTGAGATTGCCAAGGGGGAGAAGGTAGCACGAGAAGTGAAGAAAACCCTTAGGCTTTTCTTTAAACACCAGTGTTTAAAGTCTGGACCCAGGAGGATAACTTCCAGAGGAGACTTGGAAGAGATGGCTATAGAAGAAATATATGAATAGTATTTCAGAAGCCAAGGGACATGAATATATGAAGAAAGAATACTAAGATGAACCCCATTTTCAGCAAGTTCTTAGACACTCTTGGAATGTAATAGTAGTAATTTTCTTTATTGAAGAGGAAGATGAAAGATTGAGCCTTGACTTTAGGAATATATGTAATTGAAGTTTGAATCCAAGCTATTTGTGGCAGTAATACTTCAAGGTCAAAAGGAGGTAGAGTGCCAGGAGTATCCTTGATTAGGACACATAGATGATTTTAAATATTTATTCAATGATTACTTTGTGCTGGAATAAACTTAATATACGGAGTACTTTCTAGTCAGTTATGTCATTGTATCCATTTTAGAGCTGAGAAAAAAGCCTAGAGAGAGGTGTTAAGGGACTTTCCCTTGGGCATAGAGCTAGTAAGGACTGGAGCCTAGATTTGAATCCGTGTTATGACTGATTCTAGGACCTGGACTTGGAACCACCATTGGTGCTACAGAGCAATGTGAAATTAATGAGTAGAGCAGAACCCAGAGAGCTCAACTTCATTAAAGCCAGTGATGGCGAAAGTTTAAGAAATGGGCAGGTGGTATGCATTGTAGCAGTGAAATCCAGAAAATGAGAACT